ATCTAATTTTAACAGTTTTAACCTTGTTATGTTTTATCTCTGTATGTCAAATTTGAACCTTCTATGTTCCTTAAAGGGAACATGAAGATTAAATGTCTCTGCAGCTGGATCACAGACACTACTACAGTAGCACTGTATGACACAGTTAAAAATAAGCCTTATTTATCTTATACAGAATCTTGGTGCAGCCCCTCAGTTCATCCTTTGTCAGCACTTATAGCAGTATTTAGAGAAGTCTGAAGGAATGCTTGCATGTACACTGTCCTTATCGTCAACATGACAGGAAATAATAAAAAGCACAAGAGTTCCCTGTTTAAAGAGTCAGCGTAAAATCTGATCAGTTCCAGATTAGATTAGATTTCATGCTGTGGTACCTTTGGGAGGCTGAAATAGTTTGGAATTCGCCATAAGGTGTCTCTTCTGAAAGGGCAGGATGACTGTATCTTGAAGCTCATTGATAACTTCATCCAGACCTGCAATATCTCTCCAGGATACCTGCAGGAAGGTGAAGTCATTCATAAATCTCTGAGCAACATAAAAAAAAGACTGATGATTACAACCGTTACCTTCATAGTTTGTGGATCAACTAGATGAGATGCGATGTTCATCTCATATTCTGTAAGTCTGACCCCCTCGACACCAATCCTCTTCATCAGCTGCTCTGCCTGAAGGGTCAAGAAACACTTCTTAGCTGAAGACACAAAACGATAATAGACATTGTGCACAATACTGAGCCAATCTTTCTTTTTTTTTTTATCTCAAAGCATCTTTACATCATGCTTTGAATGTACAAGAACAGATAGTGCTTGCTGCATTATAAGCCAGGAAAAACGCCTGACCTTGGCAGCATTTCTGTAACACTGTTCAATAACAGCATCAACCTTGAGCTTACGGTATTTTACAGATTGCGTGTTTATAATGTGTGCTGATGCATGACATACCCTCTTCTTGGCTTGGTTTTTCTGTTTGGAGGTAGGATCCATTGCATCTAAGACCCATTTGATGCTGTAGTACGTGGCGGCACCAAAGACGGTCAACCTGAACAACATGCCAACCACTTCATTCCTAGACAACGGCCGCATCAGGGCCTCCCTGGGCAGATCTTT